CGCCCCGCCCCGCCTGCTCCCCACTTGCTGCAGTTCCCCGATTACGGATTCACCTCCAACGCCCTGCCCAAGGCTGTGGTCAGGGCGTTCTTCGACTACTGGTGAGTCTGACATACATGCATACATGCATACATGCATCCGGCCCCGCAACCCGCCCCTTGCTGCCGTGCTGGGGCGCCCTGCCCGAGGGGGCCAGTCCACCCCACGTGCACCCCATCAGCAGCAATGCCCATTCCGCGAGGCGCGCCCCTCGGCGCCCGGAGTGGAGCTTGCCGGTTGGGCTGGCACCGCCCTGGCCAGCGCACGGCGGCACAACTTTGCGCGTCAGAAACTGAACCCTTGCTGCGCGCAGGTGGGACAAACCCATTGGGGACAAGGTCCGCAAGACCATCAACTACGCCATCCTGCAGGGCCCCCTAAACGGCAAGGCTGTGGCCGTTGTCGCAAACAAAGGTGAGCACCAGGATCGAAATCAGGATTGAAATTAGGATTGTCACAGCGTCACGAGGGCGAGCCCGGCCCCGCCCAGCACCGACTTTCCCCCCGCGCGCGCCAGGCGCCCGTGCCGCGCCGTCTGCGTACGCGTGTGGGTTGGACGTGGTGTCTGCTTCTGGCCCTCAAAGACGCGCCTGTCTCAGAGCTGAGTCAGCGTTGTAAGGGGCGACGACCCCAGTGCCCGAGCCTGCCAGCAGGCCCCTGGGCCTGCTGCGCTGCCAGCCAAGCCCCCGCGGCCCCGCGCCCACCCACCCCTCCACCGTCTACCCCCTGACCCCCCCCCCTCTCCCACGCGCGCTGGTGGGACCCCAATCCATCCTCGCTCCCGCCCCACGCAGGCGCCTGCTCCACACGTTCCCCCGCCATCTCCAGCAGCGCCGGCGGCTCCCAGCTGTTTGTATACCATGCTGATGCAATTGACACCATCCGCAAGACCACTCTGACCAACTGGTGGGTGGGCGCACTGGCACGTGTTGTGTATACCCCGCCCCCCCTCTACCTCACTCCAGCGAACGGCTGTGCTGCCCACAAGCGCACCCGTGCGCACACACAGAAACTGCGCAGGCGCCCCTTTGCACAGCGCCCCTGCTGCCTCCATGCCTGCCCTCGCTTCAACCCCTGACCCTTACGGACCCCTGGACCCTGTTCAACCACCCAGGTTTGTCAGCTACGCCCGCCGCAATGCAAAGACACCGCTGGACCCCACCACCTTCTACAACGGCGTCAAGGCGCTGCAGGCGCAGCACCTCGGCGCCACCCTGCGCCTTCTGTCGCCCGTGAACACCCTCAACGTCTTCGGCGTATCCCTCACAACCTCGAACTGAGGGCGCCGCCGCCCCGCTCTCGCGGCGCGTGCTGCCTCCACCGGCAGACGGAGCGGGCGTGCGGGCCGCGCCGCGCCCTTGTGGCCGCGCCTATGACAGCGATGAGCCCTCCCGGCGCGGCGGGTAGGCCTCTGCCGTGTGCAGGGCGGCGGGTGACAAGCTCAGGGGTTAAGACTTGAATCAGATATCCACAGCTATCCTGCCGATCAGGATGTTTGAGAGCACCCTGAACCGCCAATTGGCTGAGCGATGCACGCTCATCAGCCTCTTGTTTATCAGTTGCCTGCGTACTTGGTTGCGGCGCGGCCCTTGAGCTCTGATTCCTCGGCCTTTCAACTCATACGCGCGGGAGACCGCGGTGGGCGCCCCGCTTTTTCTTTCACACGCTCAACTTGCCTAGGCACGCAGGGCACCCGCATAACGCGATGCTCGACCGCACGGCGCCTCGTTCGGCTGCGGGACCTCTTCCCAGCAGCGCTCGCCGCGGCGGCCGTGCAGCCGGACAGAAATGGACATACGCATGTGTTTGATCTGTGCATCTTCTCATTTGCCTTGGCCTGAAGTGCCTCCGCTCTTTGGACGCTCACCAGAGGGGTTGGCAGGTAGAGCATGGCGGCGTCAGCGCATCCATGGCGAGCGAAGCGCTCGCAACATCCCATGCATACACGCGTGCACTTATCCTTGGGGGTTGCTTCCGACAACCGCTACTTTGGTTGCACAGTGACTTCTGTTGTGGGCCAAAGCAGCGTCCCTGGATCTGATCCAACAGCTGGGACGTTTGGAGTGCAGCAGTCATAAACTGTCACTCCGCCGGGCGCAAGCCTGATTGTCCACTACCTGCTGCTGTCAATCTTATTCGTTCCGCCTGTATTCGGGCTTTGAGGATTGGCTATGCCCAGCCCTAGACGTTGTTGCGGGATGTGTCTGCACACAAGAGGTTCGGTCTCTGTCCCATATTCGCTGTACTGCGCTTCTATGGCATCAACCGACGGCAGCCTCGGCGCCATTGTCCACTTTCCAAGGGCACGCGGTGGTGCTGTACATGAGCACCTTGCCTCTCGTCGTGCCGGGTGAGTTGTGAGCATGCAAGCTGGGGACTGGTGGCTGCTTGTGCCTTGTTGCCCGCGCACCCCACGTGAACGACTCCGCCCCACCTCTCTGTCCTGCAAGCCGCCCTTGGCACTGGTTCTTGATGACTTTTTGTTTGGTGATTCCAGCAGCGGTGCCTCTTATAAGAGAGGAAAGCCCGCGCACCTGGCAGGTGAACCAGGCGTGGCCGGGTCTTGACTAACCAACGAAGGGCGTACCCCTCTCGCTCTACTTTGCAACGGCACACACACAAGGGCTTGGCACTTCCCACACTGTAATCATATCCCTGCAACCGCGGCCGAAATTGAATAGTCAAAACGCACGTCGATTTATCCGGATGGTCAAGCAGGAAAAAGCGGCAGAGCAGCGATTTCCAGCCCCTCACACACATGTGCGCACGGACACACTCGCGAATACTCACGCACACCATTTGCTTTTATTTGTGTGTTTTTGTGAGACACACGTGTGCATGCAAGTGTGCATGCCTGAGCGCACGCACATGCGCACACACACACATGCACACACACACACACACACATGCACACACACACATGCACACACACACACACACACGCACGCACGCACGCACACACGCGGTGCGTGAGACCATACGGGCAAGCGCGTGCGTACAGGCCATAGCACGGGGGTCGCAGCCAAGGGGCGGCGGCAAGTGTCACGGTGCGGCTGAGCAGCAGTCTGCGATAGGACTACAGGGCACAGCGGGCGGAGCGCTGCTGGAGCGGGCCGAAAAAGAGAGCATGCGCCAAGCGCTGCGTTGCAGGGGCCGGCTGCAACCAGAGCTGCTGCAAGACGGCGTGGCACGGCACGCGGTTGCTGGCCGTCTGGGGTGTAGGTGGGAGTCCCTTGTGATCGCTCTCTATCCATCAAGTGGCTCTGCGACCCTCGCGCACCCACCCACTCACCTACCCATTTACGTGTCCTTTCTGCCTGCGCGCGGCCCCGCCGCGCCGCGCCGCGACCACGCGCCCGCCCGCCTCCCGCTCCCACGATCTTGCTTTCACGAGATCCCGCTTGTGCACATCTCGGCGGGACAGCGTCAGTCGGATGGCGCAACTGTGCTTCATGGTTGTGTCCCTTGCACGCTTTGCACTGCGCGTTTTTGGTCCCCGGCCGACCGCAGAGGCCACGTGCGTCGTCAGGGCGCCGGTCGAGCTGCTGCGGCCCCGCTTACCCACCCCTCTGCACAGGCGCCCGCGCCTGCTGGGCGGCGGAGCGGCTGCGCGGCAGCGCCAGAGGGAGGGCGCGGGGTGGGCAAACGACGGCCGACACGTTTCGCGTTGCGCGGTCGCGCCCGATCGTCTTGTTTTGCAGCAGCAGCAGCAGCAGCAGCAGCAGCAGCAGCAGCAGCAGCAGCAGCAGCAGCAGCAGCAGCAGCAGCAGCAGTAGCGACTTGGTCTTGGTTCGGCAGTCGCCAAGATTGTTGCTTGTACGCACCTTCTGCACTGCGGGCGGCGCAGGGGCGACTCACAAGCCACAACCATGGATCCCCTGCAGCAGGTGTGCTGCAAGCAGCAGGCAGGCGTGCGCTGCACAATGCTTACGACAACGGGGTGATGGTTTGAAAGCAGCCGCGGGTCTTGGTTGGATCCCAGGCTCTGCTGCTGGAGCATCTGCGCGGCATCCAGCGCGGGCCCCCGAGAGATTCCATGGCGTGCCAATGACGCCGGCGGCGAAGGGGCGATGTGGTCACGGGGAACGGCGGCACCAGCCGTCAAGGCAGGCTAGGATGGGTCCGCCGGCGGCGCAGTGTGAGGACTAGCGGAAGTGTTTGTTTTGCCTCCATTCACCTGGCAACGTGGATTTGAGGCCCGTGGTTCCAGATGGGTCGGGCGTGATTTTCTTGCTCGGTGACCACCTGGCTGGCTGGGTCACCCCGTACGGCTGGGTCACCTCCGAATGACGTGAGCCGATGGCAGACAGGTTTGGCGATCAGCCTTGATAATACAGTAGGCGGCTTCGACTTCTTTCCGCACTTTCACAGGTGTTTATACTCACGGGGGCTCCTACAAGGGTCCGTGGGTGGCCCCTTAGTAGTAGCCAGCTTTCAGCTCTGCCACCCAGCCATTGGCGCGGCATCGAATAAATGCAGTAATTGTAATCAATTTCAAGCCTACATATAAGTCATACCTTGGCGTCGCAGTCGCCGTCACCGTCTCACAGGGCGCGCGACGACTGTAACATGGCAAGGAGCAGAGTGCGCAAAGCGGGTGGGTATCCTTGCCCTTACTCGTTGATATACAAAGTTATCAGAGCGATCACATGTAGGGTGAACCAATCGCCAGCTACCTGCGCGCGTTGCGCCTTCATTTGTGAAACCCTATGCAGTCAGCGTCACACATTATGGATCCCGTGTGACCCGTGCGCATGCAGCTGCGCGCAAAATTGAACAATTGTGTTTGGCTGCTATGTAGTGACCGACGTACTTGTTCGGCACCGGCGCCCCAGCAGCACGGGCGACCCCTGCTTCGCCGCCGCTGCACGGCACAAGACACTCGCAGAAGCTTTGATGACCCCAGCGAGCTGAGTCGCCCACCCCCTCCCCTGCGCTCCTCCCCTTGCCTCAAGCCTACACGCACACCAGAAGCCTCCGGAAGCATCTGATGGCAACCACGACGCACCCCGCCCGCCTCCCCGCGGCCGCCGCCGCCGCGCTGCTCCTCGCCACGCTCCTGGCGGCAGCGCGCCCGGCCGCCGCGTGCCGCGTCACAAACGTGGACGTCTCACTGTCTTCCAGCCCCGCCGGCCTGTCCAGCACCGCCTACACCGCGGTGAGGCTCGCCCGTGCTGGGGTTTGCGGCCTCCTTTGCCTGCGCTTCACTGTGCTTTCACACGGCGCGCTGCGTTCAATTGGTCCTGCCGGTCGCGGCTGCTGCAACAGCTGCGACCGCTTTCCCCAGCTCAATTGCCCGGCCCCAGCCGCACGTGTGCTCGGCCCTCCGGCGCTGGCACGGCTGCCCTCTAAACTGATCTGTATTGAGGCGAAATCAATACCGCCCGGCCTTTCAAGCCCTCCCTCCTAGAGTCTGATGAAGGAAAGCGCATCCGGAACTCCAACAATGCAGACTCGCCCGCCACGAACTCGAATGCAACCCCTGCTCACCGCAGGACGGCGTGAGGCAGCACTTCAGCCTGGATGTCAACCGCGTGACCTACGTTCCCACCCGCACCGCCACCACCGCCTGCGTCGACTCACGCCACGAGTACCCCGTCATCGGCACCCCCGGCGGCGACATTGCCGAGTTCATTGGTGGTTTTGCTGTCTACCTCAACCTTACAGGCCAGACGCTCACCCAGGTGCATGCAGTTCTACGCCGACTCCTTGAATTTGTTTCTTGGCCTGGCCTCCCAGGGTCGCATTAAGGCATAAGGGCGGGCGGGGCAGGCGCTGTATCTGCGGCTTGGCGCGCTCCGCATCAAGCGCACATGAGGATGCGTTGCGGGAGGCAGGGAAGCTGCCCGGAGGCGTCCGTCCACGGGTGACGCACGCATTCCCCTGCGCACCACGAGGGTGGAGTGCATGCGTGCCGCGGCGGCGCGTCAACACTCAGACGGGCGGCGGGGCGGCGCAGCGGCCTGGGGACTGAGCTTGTGGCCAGCAGCCCTCACCCTTCGCACTTGCCAGCTGCCAGCAGGCTGTCCCGCAAGATCACGGCGCCGCGCCCTCCCGCAGTCCCCTAAGCTTGCACGTCCGAGCCTTTGGCAAAAACCAGGCTTTTTGATCATATGTTTACACCTCAATTGGTTCTAGGGTTTAACGCCCACCCCGACAGAGGCCGGCCCACTGCGCGCGCGCCCCATCGGCAGCACCGCCCAGTGCGCAAAACTCGCGCCTCGGCGCCCAACCGATCGGGCCGGCGGCATCGCACTGGCAAGCACACGGCGGGCCAGCTTCGCGCCTCAGAATTGCAACCATTGCTGCGCGCAGGTGGGGCACCCCAATTGGGGACAAAGTCCGCAAGACCATCAACTACGCCATCCTCCAGGGGCCCCTTAACGGCAAGGCGGTGGCCGTTGGTGCCAACAAAGGTGCGCGCGGCCGTGGGCACAACCGACTATCACGCACTGCGCGTGCGCCCAGGCGCCAGTGTGGTGTCATTTGCGTGGCTGGGCGTGTTGCTTAAACGTTGAGTCTGCCTTCTGCCCTTACAAACGCGCCCGTCTCTGAGCTGAGTTATCATTGCAAGGGGCTGCGATCCCAGCATCTGAGCCTGCAGCTCCCCTAGGGCCACTGCACCGCCAACCAAGCCCCCGCTGCCGCCGCCTCGCGCTCATTCACCCCTTCACCCGCTGCCCTCTAAACACCCCCATCCCACGCGGGCCGGCGTGATCCCTCTTCTCCCTTGTTCCCTCACCCGCAGGCGCCTGCTCCACGCGTTCCCCCGCCATCTCCAGCAGCGCCGGCGGCTCCCAGCTGTTTGTATACCATGCTGATGCAATCGATACCATCCGCAAGAACACCCTGACACTTTGGTGCGCAGGCGCCCGCGCGTGCGCGCGTGTTTCGGGGCCCCCGCCTCGGCCTCAGTGCAACGGACTGCCGTGCTCTCAAAATGTGCGAGTGCGCACATACACGCGAGCTGCTGACGCGCCTCTTTACACAGCGCCTCTCCTGCTTCCACGCCCACCCCCGCTTCAACACCCCCACCCCGCTGAAACCCTGGGCCCTCCCAAACTCACCCAGGTTTGTCAACTATGCCCGCCGCAACGCAAAAACACCGCTGGATCCCACCACCTTCTATAACAGCGTCAAGGTACTGCAGTCAAAGCACCTGGGCGCCACCCTGCGGCTGCTGTCGCCCGTCAACACCCTCAGCGTCTTCGGCGTCTCCCTCACGACCTCCAACTGAGGGCGCCGCCGCCGCTCCCCGGATGCATCGACTCCTGCGCGCTGACGGGGCAACAGGCGCTCCGGCTGCGCCGCGCCGCGCTGCACGCGCCCAGGCCGGGGCCCCCGCCCTCACGGCTGCGCCGACAGCGGAGCCCACCCGCGGCGGGGGGGCCGCGCTTGCCGTGTTCAGAGCGGCGGATGGAACGCAGGCTCAGGACTCGGATCAGATGCCCACAGCCATCCTGCCCGTCACGACATCCAAGGGCAATCTCGGCCCCCACTTGCTGCACAATTCATGCTCCTTGCTCATTAGCGGCCTGCACACTCGGTTGCATGCGGTGCGGCACTTGCACTCTCATCCTCCGCCTTTTGATCCATGCGCCCGCCGGCACCACTTTTGCGCACGCTCGACTCGCTTAGGCATGCATGCATTGCAACCGTGAAATGCGGCGACTGCCCGCGCGGCAAATCTTCCGGCTGTGGGGCCTCTTTCAAGGGGGCGCATATGGCTGTGCTGCCTGTCTGCAATGCATATTCGCATGTGCACGGTCTCAGCATTTTTGCGTTGACGCCGGCCTGCTGTGCACCCCGCACTAGTGAGCGAGCAACAGAGGGATTGGGGGGTGGAGCACGGCACTGTCAGCATGTCAATTACTGCTAGCAGCGAAGCGCTCATCACGACGCTTTGTGCATTCTCCCGTGCACTCAGACTCGGAGTTGCTTCCAAGCAAAACGCTGCTTCCATGGCACATTGAGTCATGTTGTGGCCAAAACAGCATCCTTAGATCTACCCAAACAATCGGTGCGCTCAGAGCGCAGCAATCCTACAACTGTCACTCCACCAAGCGCAAGCACAACTGCCGATTACCTGCTGTCAATTTGTTGCATTGCCCCTTGACTGGGCTTTGACTGTTGGCGACCCAGCCCGACATTGGCGGGGTGCGTCTGCACACCCCAAGTTGGGTCACTGTCCCAGACTTGCTTCACTGCGCTTCTAATTGCTCGAACCAACGTCAGCCTCAGCGCTGGATTTCCCCTTACAAGATCAGGCGGGGGTCCTGCAAATGAGCGTCTGTCGCAGATGCGCGTGAGGATTTTAAATGCAAGCTGGGGACTGGCGGCTGCTGCTGCCTGTCCGCACACCCACCTGCTGCCCGCAGACCCACTACGCAGCCTCATGTTATGTTCTTATGAGTCCCCCTTGGCTCTTATTACTGATGATTCTGTTCACATTGTTTGCAGCAGCGGCGCCTGTTTCTAGAAAGGGTATCCCGCGCACCTGAATGTTGACCCAGGCGTGGCCGGGTCTCGACTCACTAACTTGGTGAACAAAGCGCGCACCCCTCTCGCTGTACTTTGCAACGGCATACACACAAGAACTTGGCATTCTCATGATTGTAATCATCCCCCTACAACCGCGGCCCAATTTGATTGATCAAAACGCACCACGGTCCGCCTCATAACCTAGAGACTGCAGCAGCACAAAGCGGCATATTTTTGCAGCAATTGCTATCCCCCTTGCACACGCATGCGCAGGCACGCACTGGCAAATACACGCGCACACCGTTTTTGTGTGTTTCTGAAACACACATATGCATGCGCATGGGCGTGCCTGCGCACATGCACACACACACATGCACACATGCACACATGCACACACGCACACGCACATCACACACACACACACACACACACACACACACACACACACACACACACACACACACACATTCACACACACACGCACGCACGCACGCACACAATGCAAGCAAACAATTTCACAAGCATGCGCGTACCGGCCATAGCACAGGGGCCGCAGCCCAGGGGTGGTGACGAATTTTAACACGCGGCTGAGCAGCGGTCTGTGATAGGACTCAAGGGCACACTGGGCGGAGCGCTGCTGCAGTGGACCGAAAAATAGAGAGCAGCTGCCTGACGGGGGGCCATTGCGACCACAGCTGCTGCAAGATGGCGTGGCACGGCGCGTGCGTGGTTTCTGGCTGTCTGGGGTGCAGGTGGGAGCTTGGGTTTCTCCAGTTAATACTCTCTGCCCATGGGGCGGCACTGCAGCTCGAGCGCACCCGCCCACCCATTAACGCGCACCCACCCACCCACGCACCCACGCACCCACACACCCTCCCATTCACCACCCACCGACCTGCCCGGCCCCTTTTCTGCTCGCAAACCTGAACGCCCATATGCGTGCTGGCGGCGGAGGGCAGCACACAGGCAGCTTCATGTTGGGTGTGACCAGAACTGACCATTGGCGTTTAAAGCATCAGCAGGCAATGGGTGACCCCCTGTGGCAGGGGAGGTGCAGCACTGGCGTGCGGCAGTCGCAACCAAGTGATCAAGAGGCCGCAGCGGCCACAGCAGCGGCGGCGGCGGCAGCGTGTTGCGATGACGGGGGCAGGCCGTAGGTTCGTTGGGTGGGATTGTCAGTGCTTGTGCTCACTCACCCGGCCTTGCCAGTCAGGGGCGCCTGATCTGCAGGGGGTAGATATGTGATGTGTGGCCGGCCGGTGGTGCACAGGTGACTCAGTCAATCTCCCGAGCGTGCCGCAGCCATACAGGGTGGGTGGGCCGGTTGGAAAATCACAAAAGTTGCGCGGCTGAAAAGACACCGCCATTCGACTCCCATCCACAGCCCGTTAGTCAGGCGTGCCAACATAACCGCATGCAGCAGTTGCGACACTTGCTTACCTTGTGGCAGTGCCGCCCAAAGCGACGATGGCGGCAAATCAGCGCAGCGCCGGTGAAGCGGCGCGCGTCGCCGCAGCTCTGCGGACGTCGCAATCTTACGTCTGTAGCGAGCAATCGCTGTCGCGACGGCCCCAAAAAGCACACACGCGCATATCAGCAAAGCGGCGCACGCCACCCGTAGCCCCGTACCTTGGGGGCCGCTGGGCGGCAGCTCGGGCAGCCCTGGCCCCTGCCGCTGCGTGTGTGCCCTGAAGAGCGTATTCGCGTCTGCCCGCTCGTACCCGCGCCGCACCGCACCGCGCGGGCGCACCCGCCCACCCACCGCTCCCATGATCTCGCTTTCACAAGATCCATCAAGTGCACATCTAGGCAGGACGGCTTCAGTCGGGGGTCGTAGCCGTGCTAGATGGTTGTGCCCGCTGCCTGCTCCTGTTCGGCCCCAGGCCGACCGCAGAGGCCGCCTGCGCCGGCAGAGCACCCGCCGGGCTGCTGTACCCCCGCTGAATACCCACCCCTCTGCATGGTCGCCCGCCTGTGCCGGGTGGCGGGGGCGGCTGTGCAGCGGCGCCAGACGGAGGGCCGGCGTGGGGCGGGCAAACGACAGCGGGCACTGACGTTGCACGCTGCGCGGTCACGCACGTTCATCTTGTTTTGCAGCAGCAAATTGGGTGCGGTGTGGCAGACGCCGAGTTTCTTGTTTGCGTGCACCTTGTGCACTGCGGGCGGCGCAGCAGCGACTCGCCACAACGGATCTCATGCAGCAGCTGTGCTGCGAGCCGCGGCCATGCACCAATCGATGCTTACGACAACAGGATGATGCATTCAATGAAGACAAATGTTTGGGTTCAACCCCAGGCACTGCTGTAGGAGCGCTTGCGAACTACCCAATGCGGGCCCCCGGGGTGACTCCAAGGTGGAGCAGTGACGCCTGCGGCGAAGGGGCAATGTGGTCAAGGGGCGCGGCGGCAGCAGCAACAGCCGTCCAGGCAGGATGGGGCCGCCCGCGGTGCGCATCATGAGATTTGACGGGAGTGATTATTGCCTCTGGGCACTTGGGATTGTCAATTTTGGGCCCAAGCCGCCCGATCCATCGGATGTGATTCCCTGACTCCGTGACCACTTGGGCTGCGGCCACGCACGGCGGGTCACCCCTCCAATCTCCAATCACGGGTGTGACACTGCCAGGCAGGGTGGGTGCCAGTATAAAATTCAGAATGAAAACTCGGGGTTATTTATCTGATCGTTAGTTGTCTGGGTGCGTCGCGCCGTCCTTCAGTCACGGCTTGTCGCTGTTGGCTAGCAGGCATAGTGCAACGGCAAACTATCAATAAGTACGATTGCCTCGCGATCAAGTCCCCATTTGAATCGATCGTCAAGGTGCGTAGTCGCGCAACGTTGAAGTAGGCCGCGTGCTGGGCCCACAGTCGCCAGACCCGCGTGGCCTAGCGGATCGCCCTGGTTAGGGTTTTGATGCATTGCGGATGCGTTTGAGATCAAGGGCTTGCAGCATATTTCCAGGGTTGGGGGCGTCGCCTGCATGGTGATAACCCCCACCACCGATCCACATGGATCCCTCGTGACCCTGTGCACACGCAGCTGTAATCACCAACAAAAGTTTGTGGTGAATTGCCTGCTAAATTGGTTGGCACCAGCAAACCAGCAGCACGGCCGACCCCCGCTCGCCGCTGCACGGCACAAATATGACGCCTAACCACCTCGTCATCCTGGCTGACACCCCAATCCC